GCAGGAGCAGGAGCAGGAGCAGGAGCAGGAGCAGGAGCAGGAGCAGGGTACTGATCTCTTGTAGCACAGGTGAGCCCACGACCAGCAGCAACCCAGACAGCAGCTCCGGCCAGCCCACAGCTGTTTGGTAGTTTCTAGGATCTGGCTGGTAGCCGAAAACTGCAACGAAACACCTCAGCAAACTGCTCGAACAAGGCTCTTTACGAGAGGCAGGGAATGCCTGTCAGCTGGGTTCCTCAAAGATGCAGTGCCTGGAGGTGTAGCCTCCACCTGTCATCAGCTCCCCTAACAAAGCCACTACAAGTAGAGGCCAGATCCAGGTCGAGTCAGGTAGAGGGGGCCACCCTATGGGACTGACCTTTGAATCAGGAGCAGACAGTTCACAAGTGAAAAGAGTCTCAAGTTTAGAGACGGCTTTCTCTCCTCACCAGACCTCTCCACAGCTGATAACCCAGCCTCAGATCCCAGAAAAGGGAACAGGGCTTGGGCCTCCCCATCTAGGGCCAGGACCTGGGAAAGACCAATTCTTTGTGTCAAGCCTGGTTTCTCTTTACACTGAACATTTAGAGGTGGGATGGAAAGAAGCTAATTTCCATTTTTAATCTCCTATGCAGGTCCTGGTCCCACTGTGGCAGATACAGAGGAGGGGTCTAACGTAATCCGTCTTACAGCCCTTTCCCGCAGGACTGCTTGCTGTGGTCCGACAGTAGCTAGGCCTCTCCTACTCTGCCCTCCAGAGCATCTAATCTTCTGACAACATGGCACAATGTCACCTACATAGTCGCTCCAGAACCCCATAAACGAAATTTTTACTAAACCACGTTTTAAATTTACAATTTTGTGTTGGGCTACATTTGACAACTATCCTGGAATATATGTGGCCCAAAGGCCACAGGTAAGACACTTGCAGAGAGTTTAAACTGTCTGGTTCTTACCATATCTGCCTCTCAAAACCCACCACCTTAGGTTAGAGGAGGGAAGAATGTGCACACTTGGGAGGAGGTAACATAGGTCTTCTACAGAGCCTGGCAGTATTGGACTTTCTCAGGATAAGGAACTAGTCAAGTGATTTCTAGGATTCCATCACAGATTTTCTAGGACCCTGTGGGGTCTAGGTTAGGTCTACTTTGGGCCTTGTTTGACTAGGTGTGTTAACTTTCGGCAAATTACATTTTACCATCAGGACTAGTTTCTAAGCTTATAAAAGGAGATTTCTACAGTGGTGCAAGCCATTAATCCCAGTACTTGGGAGGCAGAGGCAGGTGAACCTCTGCAAGTTTGAGGCCAGCATGGTTTATAGTGAGTTCCCAGTAAAGAGACCATCTCGAAAACAAAGAAAAAATAAAATTCTGCCTCACTAGCCTCCCTCAAATTAGAACACTGGATCATGTGGGATGGGGAGGTGTGTTCAGTCACCCTCCCACTTCATCCTCCTGGACCCCCTTGGTCCCACCATTTCTGCAGCTCTAAATCAGCCTGGGGACAGCATGCTGGGCCAGAAGTTTAAGTCCAGCCCCCTCCCACTTGGAGAAGTGAAGAACAACTCGAGGCAAGAGCCCACTCGACCATCAGCCCCCAGGCGCCCCTGCACCCCTCACCATCTGTTGCGACACAGTGGCCAGTGGCCGAGAGCTGCCAAGAGTTTAGCAGACCCGGCGAGCATGAAGAAGCTGAGCAGGAGACGCAGTGCGCACACCTGCGCCATAGCTCCTCCCTCCCTGCCCAGCCCACAGGGCTTGCTGCGAACTTCTCCTCCGAACTTCAACTTCCCGGCCAGGCCCTCTAGACCCATCCAAGGACTCCCAGCCCTGTCCTAGGAGGACCCCCAGACCCGCCTACTGAGGCCTCTCATCAAACTCAGTAAGCCCGAGCTAGCAGTCCGGTTCTGATCTACTACGTGACCTGGCCTTGGGGCCACCCCGACACCACCCAGCCTCGTGTGCCTCTGGCCTCTTGGCTTGTTTCCTCAAGGAAGTTGCACACTGGCCTTGAAAAAGATACTTGTACACCACTGAACCATACAATTAATGCGCAATAAAGCAGTAACCAGTAACTACAAGTTTTTCTTGTTCACCTATGCCTAAAATATCTACCTCTCCCATTGCTCAACTGAAATAAAAATGTGAAAGATGTTTAAAGATTTCACCTATTTGCCCAGGTCAGGAAACAAAGGGTCAAATTTGGCCAGCTGTAGAATATTTGGTTCTAACACACACCAAAAAGGAAAAGATTAATACTATTAATAATAATCTTAAAATGACTAAACAATATTCAAGGAATTTTCACATTTGGAAATTATATAAAAATAACTTCTCAGTGTGCACGGATAAAGGGATGTTGGCCAACAGTACGTTTGTACACTGTCTGTGGACGAGCCACACAATACTTACTATCTGACCTTTCATGAAAGTCGGCTACAGCCAAGCGTGATGGTGCACACCTGTAATCCCAACAGGGTTACGGGACGAGGATGAGGCTTGAGGACGGCCCAGAGTTCACTGCCAGCATGGACTTACTACACAGCAAGAATAGGCCAGTAACGACTACACTGCAAAGCCCCATCTCCCCCACCTCCTCACAAAAAATTCCAAGTCCTGGTCTAGAGATCCAAGAGGGGCCCCCAAAGCCACTGCTGCTTCTACTTCCTGCTGGGCACCTACCTGCTGGGATCTGCTTTCCATCCATCTGTAACTTTCTGAGGGCCGCTGACTTGACGGCCTAAAACTTCTCACATTTTTTAAGAGCAAATTGAACAGTCAAACTGTGCCATGGAACTATGACATGGGCCTTCGGTTCGTGTGGACTTGGTCATAAAGGGGAGTGCGCACTGGTGGCTGCTGATAACTGTTTTATCCCCCTGAGCTATGTGGCCACTTTCTTCCTGAGTCACTTTCTCCTGTAATTACCTCGAATTCTAGGAAACCCAGAGCTGACCCATAAACATAATGTACAGGAAAGGACCAAAACTAGCTCCAAGCAACAGGGAGCTTGGCAAGGCTTAAATGAGGGCAACTGCCATTTCGGTGAGGCTGTACCCCAGAGAAGCCAGACTGCTCCCCTGAAGTGATGACACTGGGAACTTCTCCAATCAGATTACTAGCCACACCAAGAAGACCCACTGGCAGGCACACCCCAACCCTCTACGGTTTTCCTTTTCTGAGAGCTCAAGGTCCCTGTCAGCCCCTTCAAGACTAAGGTGGGAGTCCAGCACGGTGTCCAACACCTTAAATTCCAGCACTGGGGTATGGAGGCATGGGGAGATAGGGTAGAGGCAGTGGGATCTGAGTTTGAGGCCAGTCTGGTCTACATAATGAATTCCGGGACAGCCAGGGCTATGTAGAAAGACCCTGTCTCAAAACAAAAACAAACAAACAAACAAACAAAAAAAACAAAGGGCTGAGGTGGGATCACTGAGTCAACCTGTTTTCCTCAACCTGGCTCCGCTAGCCCAGTCCTTCTCTGGCCTTCACCAATGCTTACCTCTAACTGATATACTGGGACAAGCAGTTGGCCTGGTCTCTTGGAGAACTCCCTAAGTAAGACATTTCCTCTGAAACTCCAAGAGCAATCACCAATATAAAGGCTAAATTTTCTCCCTTGTGTTATTAAAATTATACATAATTATGTTTAAGTCCCATAACTCTTAAATCCCTCTACAACAAAGGAAAAATTATTGAAACATTTAATCACTGAAAATACAAATACATTAGCAAATGTATTTTAGGATACTTATACAAAATTTAACACAAAATTAAAGACTCTGACGATAAGCAATATGGATACTACTCTTTTTCCTTTACCAACTTTTCAATCCTTGGAACTAATGATGTGACTGCAAGTCTTAGGGCAGAACCAAAACCCAGCAGGTTCCTTTGTTTTGATGCAGTCAAGGCTGAAAAGGTGGCATCACATAGACAGACGGTGGAAAAGGGCAGCAAGAGTTTCACTGCCTTTTCATGGAGTTCTGGGTAGCTTGTCTTTGCGCTTACCCAAAACTGAGTTACAGACATTGATTTATAAGCTGACTGTAAACTCGTATCTAAAGATAATGCTGCTAATTTTTCTTCTTCAGAGTCAGTGAGGTTGTTATTCTGGTGACTGGCAAAGGGATCGACGAGCCACAGATTTCCCAAACGTAAGTCCTCTTCTGGGGGGTAGCAGTCATGGAAAACCTGAGCAAGTCCTTCTAAGTGCTCAACAATAACGCCAGTGATGCTTCTCACACTCACATCTGACGAGTCTAAGAACTCGGAAAACAAAGGGAACATGTCATAGTCATTCTCTTGTGTGCGCTTCACCCACGTCTTTAGCTTGTTCTTAAACATGTCGACTTTGTTATACAAATTGAAAACAGTAGCCATGGTCCCTTGGAGAGCAGAATTTAACTTATTTATAAGTGAAAACATATCTGCTAAATAGGCTAGCTTTGCAACCCATTCCTTGTCTTGAAAATATCTGGCTAAATCTGAATGCCTTTGATTTAAAAGTATTTCAATTTCATGTCTCAGTTCAAATAATCTTGTTAAAATTCTCCCTTTCGACAGCCAACGAACTTCAGCACTAAGTGGTAAGTTCACATGCTCCGATCCCATCTCTTCACACAGAGTTGTCAATATCTGTGAATCTGAGGCACTGTTCTTTACAAAGCTTAAAATTTGTGCTGACTGCAAAAGGATTTCATGTAAGCATGGAGATAGCTTTTCGGCTGCTAAGTGTTCACGGTGAATGAAACAGTGTGTGAAAGTCACTGCATTCTTGGCAACTTCCTGAATTTTTGACTTTAAATGAGAACATCTATCAGTCATGCTTGTGGCCCCATCAGTACAGAAACCAACACAATGGTTCCAACTCAGAGATCTACTATCAATATATTTATCTATTAACTCAAACACTTCAAGATCTGTGCTCGGAGAAGACATTTCAGTACAAAATAACAATTCTTCTTTCATATCACCACATGCATAATCGATGAAGCGAACATAGCAGAGGAGAAGGGTGATGTCTGAGGTCTCCGATGACTCATCTATCTGAAGGGCAAACCACCGGGATTCTCTGACCTTCTGAACCAGCTGGTCTTCAATGTCTGCAGACAGCTTGTTGATCCTGCATCCAATTGTGTTATTGGAAAGAGGGATGGTTTTCATTTTGTCTCCAGCACTTGAACCCAAAACTTCTGAACACATTTCTACTAAATACGGTTTGATTAATTCTTCAGCGATGGAGAACGGCTTCTTCCTGGCAGCAATTTGGAAAGCAATTAAATAAGAAGCTTTCACAAGTGACTCTTCAACCAGTAAACACTGGTTTAAAGGACTGTTTTGACATTCGATTTCAAGTGATTTTTCCTTAAAAAAGTCTACTGGCTTGTCCTCTAACTCAGAATGTTTTGCCTTCAAATGATTAGAGAGACTGACTGACATCACGCTTTCTTGAGGTAAGATCTCTCCACAAATGACACACTGTGCTCTTGGTGGACTTTCCTCGGATCCAGAACAGATAATAAAACCAGATTTTATATATTCTGCATCACAAGTCTGGAAAGAGTCCACTCTTTTCTTCTTTGCAAGTGGAGAATCAGGTTCTTCATTTTCCCCATTTGGCAGAGGTAAATCTGAAGGAAATATTTGAATATGAACACTTGTGTTATGAAAACCTGGACAAAATTCCATTAACAAGATGGATTAACATTAACTTTAGGGGTTAGAGAACAGTTCAGTGGTAGCACTTTATCTGGGATGTCAACCTGGATCCAATCCTTAGCACCAATATAAACCAACATACTACATATAAAATCTAAAGGCCAATCTTAGGAGCACTTGCTCTGTAGACCAGGCTGGCTTCAAACTCAGAGAGATCCACCTGCCTCTGCCTCCTGAGTGCTGGGATTAAAGGTGTGCGCCACCACCACCTCTTTTAAGAATCTTAATGCAGGGGTCAGTGAGATGGCTCAGCAAGCAAAGGTACTTGCTACCAAGCTTGACAAGGTGGATGGATGTAACAGCTTCCACAAGCTGCTCCACATATACACTGTGGCATGCTCCCAAGCAGGTACAAACAAGTACAAAATAAAACACAACAGAACCCCTATGTAGGGCTAGGAATGGTAGCACACTCCTGTAATCCAGCACTTAGGAGTCAAAGGCAGGAGGATCAGGAGCTTAAGGTCATCCTCAGCTACACGTCCAGTCTGAGACCAGTCTGTGATATTACATGAGATACCTATCTCAAAAACAAACAAAAACAGTGAAAGAGGGGACAGGTAGACAAAGAATAATTTCAGTGTGTACATTTTTATCAATGTAAAATGTTTTCAATCGAATGTCAAATGAAAAGCAATTTACAACAGTATATAGAAAGTAGTCCATATTTAATCCAGAAATTAAAAAAAAATAAGCACAGACATACCAGATGTCCACAGATCACAGATCTTTTACTACTTTTTAAATGTGAAGGTGTACAGAAGTTGATGTACACAAGTGACAGTATCATTTTAAACAGAATACAAGATGATCAAATTTGCTGAAGAGTTCTCTTTGACTCCTACCAAAGGAAAGGCACCCTATGTAAAATATCAATGATTACTTTTAACGAGTAAGCTTTATCTATTTATTTAGAGACAGGCTCATGGTGTGTGGCCCAAGCTGGCCTTGAACTCAAGATTTCCTGCCTCAGTCTCCCAAATAGCTGGGAGTACAGTAAGCTCATCACAACACCCAGTTCCAGACTGGGCATTTTATATATAGGTTAGGGAAGGGACCTGGCCAGCTTGAGCATGGTGAGCATGGCTCTGGAGGGCTTTGTTCTCCCTCATCTCCTCTGCCTTGCTAAAAATCTTTAGGTTACATTCCTAAAACTAGTCACCAAGGTCCACTCCTTTAGTCTGCCACTCCTGAGGCTGACTACCAAGGCCCAGCTGTCAAAGTATTGAAGTCCAGCAATCAGAAGCCTCCTTTGGCTCATCTAATTAACATGTCCAATTAAAATTAAACACCTTATCCTAACACGGGTGATGTGGGAGAATTGTCTATATTCTGTCAATCACATTTTAATAAAACGCTGATTGGCCAGGCAGGCAGTATAAGCAGGAAAACCAGACAGGAAGTAGAGGTGATGCAATGAGAACATGAGAATTCTGGGAAGAAGGGAGGCTCCTCTGCCACTCCTGCACAGACCACCGAAGACGCAACATGTAAGCTGTCACACTGAGAAAGGTACTGAGCCATTATGGCTAACATAGATAATGATAATGGATTAATATAAGTTACAAGAACTAATAAGTAGCCTGACCTAATGGGCCAATCAGTTTATAACCTTATGGAGTCTTGTGTGTGATTTTCTTTGTTGCTTTCCAGCTGTTGGGGTACTTGGAGGGATGGAAACCCCAACAAGCCGGCCCCCTCATGTTACACACGGGGATTCCCATTTTACCTTTATAAACTGCCATTTGCCTATGGGCCACATCAGTTTCTCCTTTCTCCAGAGGCAGTCCTTTGCTCCTCTGGGACAAATACCCCGTCCCCTTTTCTTGTCCCCTTCTCTCTCATTCTCTATCTCCTTTATCACCACATCCCAGCCCATTCTAACACAGGCCTCCCCTTTTTCCCCTCTTAAAAATTACACCTGCAAGGTCATTTGCTGTTGTTTTTCTGCCTGCTTATTAAAGGATCTCTGTGAAAATAGGTGTCTAGGGGTGGTTTGGGTCTAACCCAGGGTCTGTGGAAGAGTACCAATGTTCAGAAGCCCCTTTGGTTAGTCTGTGAGATAGAGTTATTGTTAAAAATGAAAGAAGCTGGGCTATAGCTCTGTGATAAACGCGAAGTTCTGAATTTAACACACACACAACTTTGGGCTGAGCTAGCTAGCTACTAAAGTAATGGAAAACATAAGGAATATGGGAGTAAGGCACTACCACTGACTGGGGCAATGCTTTACAGCTTTCCATGCAGGAGTTCACAATTTTCTACCACCAACACACTGGAGCATTACCTGTTCTCTCAACAACTGACAATTGAATAATTAAATGCAGAGTTTAAAAAAGAGAAGAATGAGAAAGAAAAAGAACTAAGGCTCAATCAGAAATTCTTTTAAGTAAATATGCATGTCAGTAATTATAATGGCTTATCTATACATTTGAAAGAGCAATGTACATGTGTGAAATGCTTAACTCTACACACAATATTTTATGTGCATATGAATTTGTAGCATGCTAACATTTCACACTCAAGAATTACTGTCTTTACCTTTTTATAAAAAACTAAATAAATCAGAAAGCAAACCTTATACAAGGTGCCAGGACACTTACCTGTCTGGCATGCAACATGGTAGGTGTGTGGTCTGCAAGAGGTAGCTTTGGTCTGTGTGCCTGGCCTGCACAATATGCCTTTGTTCTTCTGAAGCTTGGGAGGCTGCAAACACTGGAGTCTCTCTTCAGCTGCCAGTGTACTTCCCTAATTAGAAACAAATCCACAGGCCAGTGTTTTTAGTAACTTTCCAACAACCATACTGCTATCAGATGAAAAGCAGTGTGTTATCCTGTAGAAGAGCAGTTACAAACAGAAAGCACTTTGAGGGAGAAAATAACAAAAACCACTGTGATGGTTTGAAAGAAAATGGCCCCCATAGGAAGTGGCATTACTAGGAGGTGTGGCTTTATTGAGAAGGCGTACTATTAGAGTAAGTGTGTGATTATGGAGGTGGGCTCTGAGGTCTCATATGTACTCAAGCCATGCCCAGTGAAACAGACCACTTCCTGCTGCCTGCGGGTCAAGATGTGGAAATCTCAGATTCATCTCCAGAGGCACGGCTGCCCGCACCACCACATCACAGCATGAAGGGAATGGACTAAAACTCTGAAACCATCAAGATGTGAACTCTTGGCTGTTACTGCTGCCACTCTTTTGCTCCATCATAACTCCAGCCCTCTGAAACTGTACCCCAAATTAAATGCTTCCCTTTACATGCTGCCTTGGCCGTGGTACTTGTCACAGCAACTGAAAAATAACTAAGACAACCACTAACTCCTAATCAGCATAGGCTCCATTCATTGTTTCTCTAAAAAAAATATTCTGGAAAATGAATATGTCTAGAATGGGTAAGGCTCTCCGTTCACTCCCTAGTACACACACACATATTACTCTGCCTAAAATATGACTGAAATAGCCAAATAAAGAAAAAACATTTGCTGATAAGGAAATGGATATATTCACAGACTCCACAAAATAATATATAATCTCTATTGATTAAAAATCTCAACTAGGCTGGGTGTTGGTGATGCACAGCTTTAATCCCAGCACTCAGTAAGAGGATCTCTTGAGTTTGAGGCCAGGTTGGTTCCAGGACAGCCAAGACTACACAGAAAAACCCCGTCTCCAAACAAAAACAACAACAACAAAAAGCCCAGAAAATTTCAAATGACCAGAAAGGAAGTATTCTTTCTTTGGCTTTTTGAGACAGGGTTTCTCTGTAGTTTTGAAGCCTATCCTGGAACTTGCTCTTGTAGACCAGTCTGGCAGAGATCTGCCTGCCTCTGCCTCCCGAGTGTTAGGATTAAAGGCATGTGCCACCAACACCTAGCTTTGAAAGAAAGTATTTTTAAGAGCAATGTAAAAACAAAGCAAAAAAAAAAAATCAATACATTTGACTACTTGGAAATTACTAGAAAAAAAACTTTTGTAAACAAAGATCATACCTCCATAAAGTGAAAAGAAAACAGAGAAGGACATTTTATTTAAAATACATTTATTTCATTCAGAAAACATTTACTGGGGCTGGAGAGATGGCTCAGTGGTTAAGAGCGTTGCCTGCTCTTCCAAAGGTCCTGAGTTCAATTCCCAGCAACCACATGGTGGCTCACAACCATCTATAATGAGGTCTGGTGCCCTCTTCTGGCCTGCAGGGATACACACAGACAGAATATTGTATACATAATAAATAAATAAATATTTTAAAAAAGAAGAAAAAGAAAACATTTACTGAATGTAAGTAAGCCATAAATCAAGCACTGTCTAAGCCCTAGAGGTACAACAGAAAAAAAAACAACAAACAAGAGTCCTGATCAGAGAGGGAGACACAAAAACCAAACAAGTAGCTAGGGGATGGTGGCACACACCTTTAATCCCAGCACTCAGGAGGCAGAGGCAGGTGGATCTCTGAGTTAGAGGCCAGCCTGGTATACAGAGTGAGTTCCAGGACAGTCAGGGCTACACAGAGAAAATTTGTCTTGAAAAACAAAACAAACAACAAAAACCAAGCAAAACAATCATATAACAAACTTAAAAGTCTAAATAGTGGAAAGAGTTACTGAGGAAAAAGCAGGGTTAGGGAGCAGGGAGCAACATCCGATTTTCTGAATTATTCAAAAGAGCAAGCCGGGGCGCTAGAACTGGCTCAGCTATTAAGGCTCTTCCATCCAGCCTGACTACCTGAGTCCAATCCCCAGTTTGATGCCTTGGATCTCTATGGTACAAGAAAAGAACAGACACCCTATCCCATCCCCCGCCCCCAGAATATAAGCCTTGTGCCACTACCATCAATGCCATGAGTCCTGTCCTTACACATAAACCCACTCTACATGTGCTAGTGCATGTGTGGAATAAAAGTCTGAGCGCTACTGTCGAGTCAAAGCAAGTGACTTAAATTATGGTGGCACTGGCATACTGCTCTTAAAAAAAGTTGTATCTAATTGTGTGACCACAAGCAATACATGTGAGGTCATTTTACTTGAGACTATTTCCCAGTGGATACTCAGCCTAGAGTAGAGAGTTATTCTTCATGGGTAACATGGTCTATATTCCCTTGTCTATGAAGAATCCATCTACCATTTTCTGAAAAAAAAAATTCATTCATGAGTCATAGTGCACATGTCTTTTATTCTAGCACAAAAGAAACTGAGGCAGGCAGATCTCTATGATTCAAGGCCAACCTGGTCTACAAAATGCCTTCCAAGATAGCCAAGGATACACAGTTGAGATCCTGTCTCAAATACCAACACCATCTCCCCACAAATTTTTTCTAGACAAAGCGAAGCACAGCCATAATCCTAGCACCCAGGAGGCTGAGACAGAAGGAAAATCCTAAATTCAAGTGCAGGCTGAATTACATAGTGATGGCTACCCTATCTCAAAAAACTCTATGTGTATTTTCAAATGAATGTGCCATGGAACTCAAAGACTTCAATAATGAACAACTGGAAATAATTTTCCATTAGAGTTCTTCCCCAATAGTTTTTCTCATAGGGAATCACCTACTTAAGGGTGGTCTTTCCAGGCTATTCTCTATGTATGGACAAGCAGATAGACGTGTACTTAAAGCACAAATGAAGGTGTGCTATTCTAAGGTTTATGCCACCTTCTTTCCAGAAACCTATACATACAATCCTTATTCCTTTTAACAAAGGCATCGTAATCCATTACATGAATACAACATACTTACTTTAACTGTAACCAAAGCCTCTGTATATATCTGCAGGACACTCTATTACTAGCTAGGCTATGTAAATGAATGTGAAATGGAAAGGGGCACATTTCAGACTCTGCTTGTGTAAAATTATGTTTTGGCAACTCATATAATTCCAGAGTGATCTATGGCCCTAGATACAGATAGAAAAATTGGGTTTCAAGCCTCTGCTATTAGAAACAATGCAAATCAATTATAAACCACATCTGGCTCTACATTTTAAAACTTCTTTAGTTTCTACTAAAATCCTTTGAAGTAATTTTACCCATTCATACGCCTAGCAGCAAATGCCTCCATAGATCTTCATTTTTATCTTGGTCAATCTGATTAAACAGTGGTTCTAAGTTCCTTTCTATTAATTTTTTCCAAATAGCATTCAGTGTTGTATATATTTTTATTATTATTATTATAGTATTTTCTTGAATGTATGTCTTACACTATGTGCACGCATGGTGCCTACAGAGACCAGAAGAGAGACTGAGATGTCCTGTTGCGAATTAGGTCAGTACGATGAATAACCAGGCCAGCTCAAGAAAAACAATTATATTTTAATGGTTATAAGGATAAACTCACTCTACAAAAGTGGGAGGTCCAACTTCCTATCTGCAGAGAGAGGGCACCTGAGTCCTCCCAATTTTTCTTCCTGGGCTCTAGGTAGCCACACCTTAACTAGATGTGATTGGTTAACAGAGCTTCCCCATCAATGCCCTGGGACTGGAGTAACACAAATGTTCTTAATGCTGAGCCATCTCTCCTGCCTCAGTTTTTTCTTCTGATACAGGGTCTCACTAGATAGCCCAGGCCAACATAAAACCATTGTGATCCTCCTGCCTCTGCCTCTGAGTGATAAGATTACAGGAATATCCCACCTAGCTTAATTTCATTCCCAGTAACAATAAAGTTGAATATTATTAAGAACTACTTCTATGACCAGGTCTGTAAACTGATGGACACTCTTGACTGCTACTATTGATTGTTGACGACCCAACACTCATGACAAAATACCAATGTACATTTTATATATATACAAGTTTGGTGACTTCAGCAGATTTGCTTCCTTATATTTTCTTGTATTTAACATTCCACAAAATTCAAATTATTTAAATAACTTGAGGAAAATTCACATTAACATTCTCAAAGAAACAAAAGATTCTAAAACTGTCATAGCATACAAGCATCATATTTTTATAGAACAAAACTGAATCAATCAGAGCTATTTGGTAACAGGTTTCAAAATATTTTTAAATTTATTTTTATGTGTATAGGAGTTTTACCTGCATGTACGATTATGCACCATATGAATACCTAGTGCCCATGGAGGCTACAGAGGCCAGAAAATGACATCAGATCTTTGGAAGTAGAGTAGATTGTTTTAAGTTCCTGTCTGGCCGGGTGGTGGTGGTGCACGCCTTTAATCCCAGCACTCAGGAGGCAGAGGCAGGTGGATCTCTGTGACTCCGAGGCCAGCCTGATCTACAAGAGCTATTTCCAGGACAGGCTCCAAAGCCACAGAGAAACCCTGTCTCAAAAAACAAAAAAAAAAAAAGTTGCTGTCTGGGCGCTGGGAATCAAACCTGGGGAGAGCAGCTACTGCTCTTAACTGCTGAGCTACCTCTCCAGCCCCTGTAACATGGTTTAAATGAGAGGTGATTACAGAAATACTACACATGAGAAAAACATAAATACATGTTAATAATACTTAGTAATTATATACAGTAATATCTTACTTGTACATTCAATAGCATAATTATTAATGGTGCAAGTGATTAATCACATAATTTAAAATGAAATAGTATATCACATGTAATATATCAATATGTACAAGTTAATTTAATGACTTTCATTAATGAATATACTGTCTGAAAATAATTAGATAGAATCACCTTCCAATATGATAAATACTGGGAGAGTTATGAGGACTAAACTGGACAAGTTACCTTTCTATAACAGTGACTCTGGGCAAGACGTCTGCTGAAGATGGACCCGAGTGTGCTTTGAATCCCCGACTAAGGATCTCTGACATACAGATATATTTCCCAAACTTTTCTTTTTCACTATGGAACAGCAACCCATGTTTGGATCATTACCTTCAAAAATAACAATTGATACTTGGCATGGTGGTACATACCTTTAACCTCAGAAGCAAGTGGCTCTCTGAGTTCAAGGCCAACCTGTCTACACAGAGTGAGTTCCAGGACAGACAGGTCTGTTACATAGAGAAACTTTGTCTCAAAAAATAAAATGAAACAAACAAACAAAAAGCAATGGCTGCTATAATATGGTCAAATGTGAGAGCAGATACAGCCTGCCTACTCATGTATATATTAAAACCTCAATGGGCTATAAGCCCAGAAAGATCACTAAGACTTCTGCCTCACTGTCACCTCCCATCTTCTAAAATGTATTTTATTTACTATTATTTTTGGTTGTGTATGTGATGTGGGGACATGCGAGTACCACCATGCACATATGAAGGCCAGAAGACATCTTTGTGGAGTTGGTTCTCTCTTTACACCTTTGCACAGTTCCGAGGTCAGGCTTATGTGGCAAACGCCTTTGCCTGCTGAGTCATTCTGATGGTCAACCTACTTTCATTTCATCAAAAATAATTCATGCGGGAATTGCCAGAGTTTTTCCCACTTATTCGTTATATTTGTCTGCCTATAATTTTTCTAAGCTAGGCAAGTAGTTAGCCCAATTTGCTCTGCTGCCCTGGGGTTTTGAGAATTCCCTCTTACACTGTGCAGGACACACTCCCCAGTTTAACAGCACCTAGACACCACAGCAGTGGTTTGGTCCTTGTGTAGATTTTCATCATATCTAACACCTTCTGTTCCAAAGACACTGAATGTGGACACACTTGCAGTCCACATCATCATTTTATAACACCTGAATGGCATTGTCACATAAGAAAAAACTTCTAAGCCAGGCAGTGATGGCACACACCTAACACTCCAGAGACAGAGGCCAGCCTGGTCTACAGAGTAAGTTCCAGCACTGTCAGACCTACACAAAGAAACCCTGTCTGAAAACATGCCCCTACCACAAAAAAAAAAAAACAAAACCTTTTAATTATTCAAACAAATGGTCACTGAAATCATTAAGTCAAGACCTAACACAATATATGCTAGATCAGACATGTTATACTGACAAAGGGTGAGGGAACTTAGGATAGCTCAGCAGGTGATGGTTGGCACTGAACTACAACCGCACAGCCTGTGATCCTGATAGCCTGCCAAATCTGAAATTATTCACTCTTTAAAATTATTTTTATTTTTTATTTTATTTTTGGTTTTTCGAGACAGGGTTTCATTGTAGCTCTGGAGCCTGTCCTGGAACTAGCTCTTGTAGACCAGGTTTGGTGCGGGAAAATTGTCTGTATTCTGTCAATCATGTTTTAAATAAACACTGATTGGCCAGGCAGGAAGTATAGGCGGGAAAACCAGACAGGAAGTAGAAATGATGCAATGAGAACAGGAGAATTCTGGGAAGGAGGAAGTTGATTCCTCCCAGTCCTGCTCGGATCACTGAGGAAGCAGGATGTGACCTGCCAGCTGAAAAAGGTACCGAGTCATATGGCTAAAATACATCAGAATAATGGGTTAATATAAGTCATAAGAGCTAATAAGAAACCTGAGCTAATGGGTCAATCAGCTTTATAACTTATAGAGATCTCTGTGTGATTTTCTTTGGGGCTTGCCAGCTGTAGGGTACTGGGCGGGACAGAAAACCCAAACAAGCTGGCCCCCATGTTACAAAGGTTGGCCTCAAACTCACAGAGATCAGTCTGCCTCTGCCTTTCAAGTGCTGGGATTAAAGGCCCAGCTTAAATTATTTTTAAATTTGGGGAAATTTTCACATTTCTCAAATTCGAGACATAAAGTGAGAAAATTAAGTAAATATGCACTTTGTACAGTCCCAGTGACACCACTGAGCTTTCCAAAGAGGGAAAATAAGCAGTCAGGAGTTAGCAGGCACTTAAATAAATAAAGAAAGCTTAATACAAAGTAAGATGAATCAAGAGTATATCCTTATTAATGATCTAGAGTCCAGCAGTGATTCAAAACATAAAATGTGTTACCACTCAATCTTTTGAAAAGAATAAGCTACAAATAGAAAAGTACTTGTATAATGTGTGTGTATATATATGTGTGTGTATGTATATATTAGGCTATAGGTAAAATGAAATCCCAAGTAAGTGGAGGATTATCAGGTAACATACAAACAATCAAACTCACATTTCCAATGATCTCTGTTACCTCTTTAGGGCCTGCACCTGTTAAAAATCAAAATACACATTACCATTCTCACAATATACATGAGTAAACACTGAAATTGACATCATTTTCTCTCACAAAGGTGGATTAGAGCCTGGGTGAGAATTCCTCAAAAAATAGTTCAAGGAAACACCTGTTGTGCCTAGTAATGGTAAGGATTCCCTATTTCAACTCCCTGCTACTTTATTAGAATGCCTGGTAACAAAGATGCAAGAGTGGGGAATGACCAGATGGCTCAGTGGGTAAAGTGCCTGGTATACAAGCACCAGGCTATGAATTCAGATTCCCAGAACCCAAGTTTAAAAACAAAAACACCAAGTATGTCTCTGAATCTGTAAGCCCAGGTGATCAGGAGGATCCTAGAGTTCACTGACCTTTCTAGCCTAACCAATCAGTGAACTCCAGGTTCAGTGAAACTCTGTCTTAAAAATTAAAATGAATTTGGTAGGTTAACATGCTTGCCACTCAGACCTGAAAACCCAAGCTTGATCCTCAGATCCCAAGTGGAAGGAGAGAACTGACTCCCCAAAGCTGTCCTCCAACCTCCACAACAAAGGTCTGGTATGTGCCTGTCCACACTTGTGCACATATATCACACACATATATACAATAATAAAAAACAAAATTCAAAAATTTCAAAAACAAGATGGAGAGTGGTAAAGACACCTAACATCAACCTCTGGCTTCTATGCCTACCCACCTATATAGAAGTAAGTATATATGCACAACAGACACATGCGCACACACACACATGTACACACGCACGCACGTGTGCGTGTGCAGGCACATTAAAATTTTCAAATTCTTTTTGTTTATTCATTTTATTTTATGTGTATGAGTGTTTAGACTGCAGGTAATGTATGTGTACCACATGCATGCCTTGTGCCTATGGAACCCAAAGCGTGACATCAGATTCCCTAAAACTGGAGTTACAGATAGTTAAAGCCTCCATGTAACTGCTGAGAGCTGTACCCAGGTCCTCTGCAAGAGCAGCAGGTGCTCTTAACTGCTGAGTCATCTCAACAGTCCATTAGAAGCCTTTAAAAAAATAACTATACACATCCTTCCTTTCCAACAGATCCCTCTTCATTTACTAGCCACTCACCCCACATAGTGGGGGTACATTTCCTCATACAATATAAAGAAAAGCATTACCAATACAAACTCTTAGACTAAGCAATACTTTCCTCTTAGCCAAATGCCTCATACCTGTTAAAACACTGTTAGTGTTCGTGGTAGGCTGGAGAGCAGGTATTTTTGCCAACGATATCACACTGGTAATAACTGGTGTTGTAGGAATCCTTGGAGAAGCGAGTGTCGTCGAAGCATTTTGTGCTTTAGGAATAATTACTGATACTGACTTTGGGAGCACAATTACTAAAAAAGTGTAATGAGACAGATTAGCATTGTCCCTGCACAATGGAGACATACAAATTTGTAAATTGTTCCATAAAAATAAGGAATAAAATAAATGCTGATTAAAATAAACAATAAAGACAAAGTATAAATAAAAGGGTTACACACAGGAATAAAATTATTTCACAAACAGTTTTTCAGGAAGCAATACAAAGTTCTAATTCTGTGTAATGCTAGTTTGGGTTATTGTCATAAAGTCAGTGTTCACTGGGACTTAAAAAGAAACTGATTCTGTAAAACTCTAGCTTCAAAGAACAATCTAAATCCCATATAAGATGTTCCAAAAATCTAATAATTTTAATATCTAACAGGTTAAATGCCAGGAATTAGGAATAACTGGGAGTTCCTGTTAGTGGTATAAGACCCTACACTTAAGCTTATCTCAAATAAAACTTTAACACAACAGTTTTTATAAGCCGATGAGGCCGCTGTCTCTCCACGGAACACTGTTTTTTTCTCTTGCCTAAAAATAATAAGTTTCATTTTCATATTGTTTATATTATTATATTTTGCTAATATTCATGCTAATTACATTCAATCCTTGTCCCCTTTCTCCCTTCAATAGTTCACCTTCTTTTTTATGCACATATGAAACAAAACAATATTTGTCTTTCTTTTTCCCTCCCATCCTTCGACCCCTTACTCTCCCCCAACACAGTCTCCAATAGGTTTACTTCAACTATATTATAAAATGAATAGTTCACTACCAACCTGACTAGTCCTAGGGAAGAACTGGCCAATACAAACGTGTAGAATAGACATATAAAAAGGGAGTACTAGGGAAGTAAGAGTCAAACTGCAAGAAGCAAAAGCACGTGGTGTCTGTCAATTAAGAACTTGAGGTTCTGATCAGAAAACAGGTGTATCAAGTGTTTCTGACTGGGTGGAGACTTTAAGAACACTCCTCACATCTAGTCTGAAATCTCTGAACACATTAGCTGTCCTACTTGTAAAGTTATTTTCTTTTTCAGGAAAAACTCTGATGCCCACAAAGAACTGCTCTACTTTATTTTTTTCAGAAATAATTAATGTGTCTCTCTTTTTTCTTTAGCTGCAAGCAAGATCTGCATCAAATTCTGTAAGTCACAGCCACCATATTAACACACTTACATCCTCTCCCTTTGTTTGCCCTGTTTTTAGTTTTTATTTCTTTCTTAAAATTTTTTTAAAATTTTTATTTCTAATTATAACTGAGTAGTATGGATCTCTTAGAATAAGTTACATATATTCACATAAGTTTAATCAAAAGCAATCAAATTACATTTTCCTATAAGATAAATAAATATATATATATATATATATTGATTGATGACAGCAAAAAGGCATCAGAATTAATTTTCTCTCAAGGATTATGTGATGGCCTTTTGTCAACTTGACACAAGCTAGGGTCATCTAGGAAGAGGGAACCTCAATTCAGAAAAATACCTACATCAGAATACCCTGTAGGCAAGTCTGTGGGGGCACTTTCTTGATTAATGACTCATGCGGGTACTGTCACTCCTGAGCAGGTGGTCCTGGGTTGTGTAAAAAAGCAAGCTGAGGGAGCAATGGAGAACAAGCCAGTAAGCAGTATTGCTCTATATTCTCTATTCAGTTTCTGCCTCTAGGTCCTTGTCTTGAGTTCCTTCCCTAACTTCCCTCAGTGATGGAGTGTGACCTGAGAGCTGGAAGATGAAATAAACCCGTTCCTCTCCAAGTTGCTTTCGGGCATCGTTACCACAGCAATGGAAACCAAACTAGAACAGACTGTCATTAAGGAACCCTGAAGAAGACTTTAAGAAGTCTAGCTCCCTGCATGCAGTGCAACTCTGTTTGTATGGCAGTACTTCAACTGTGGATGCTGACAGCATGTCCTAGCCCTGACCTAAAGAGCCCACGAGTCAAGCTTCATTTTACCTTTTTTGTGAACTGGGTCATTCACACTATAGTGATGACAAAACTTCAAGACACAGAACAGGTTACAGAAGTATTTGATGCTGCCTCGCCATTTCAAGGATTCACTTAGCTTACCCTGACGTTTACAAGCATCGCACCTGGCTATCTGAGGAGCAAAAGACAAGGAAGGATCACAATTATAAAAAGGTAATATTGACTGTAAACCAAAGACACAATGAAAACGGCTGCTGAGTTTAATGAAAATGGAAGGCTTCCACTTGAAATAAATACTGTGATTAAAAACAGATTCTATTATTTGTTCGATATAAGACATCCTAAAAATTGACTTTCTAAAAGTTGCTCTTTTTGTTTCCAAAATTAACAATGAGGGAATATAAAGACAAGTTGTATTTTATACAAGTAAGAAAGAACATAAGAGAAAGAATATGAGCTTTGGAGTCATAAAGACAGATTCACTCTAACAAATATTTAAGTAAGTACCCTTTTCCTTTTTTTAAGATTTTATTTACTTATTTATTTATTTTGGTATACGAATGCTCTATCTGAATGTATGCCTTTATTCCAGAAGAGGGCATCAGATCACACCATAGATGATGGCAAGCCACCATGCGGTTGCTGGGAATCGAACTCAGGACCTCTGGAAAGGCAGTCAGTACTCTTAACCACTGAGTCATCTCTCCAGCCCATAGTACCCTTTTCTTAAGCACTGTGATTGGTCCTTCACCATAAAATGGTTAGAACATATTATATTCCTCCACAAGGAAATTACGCATGGGGTGAGGCAGTTAAGTAGCTACTGATTTCACTAGAGCACAGTGGGTGCAAGGCAGTCTCTCCTACAAGCTTCCTCATGGGCACACTACTCACCTCTCTGCACTCCAGTCTTCTACTTACAGACTGGCAGTGTGCACCTACCTCTCAGGACTGCCACTGGGAACAAAACAACAAGGAAGGAACACCAGATTTATATTATTGCTCCTTTAATTACACCTGTCACCATATGCCTCTCAAACATAGGAAAGCAGTAAGATTATCAGTATGTCCCTTGACCTATGAAGGGAGGACATGGTCTGACTTTAAATTCCTTAGAGTAACCTGAATTGGAGAGCTACTAAGACAAAATTACGTTAATTTCAAACCTAAGAGTTACAAGCAAGGTCATCTCACACTTTATAAGTAAGAGAATACAAAAGCACACATATACTTACTCAACAACAAAATGTCAGGCTAGCAATACAGTTCAGTCGTAGAATATTTGTCTAGCGGGCATGAGGTCCTACATTCAAGCCCCAAAACCAGGATGGGATTGGGGAAAGGCCCTCCAGAAATCCTAAATTCTAAACACATTCTCCTCATGTTATTTGAACATATTTTAAATGATCAGCACCTATTTCAAAAAGACAAAGAACATGTCCTATTTACCTGATAGAACAGAGCTGTAAACTTGGACATGCATTCTTCACAACAGAAAACTTGAAGCTTGCCATCCAGTCGATTTTCTACAAAATTTGCAGATGTCTGTAAGCAGTAACTGCACATCTTACAGCAGTTTGTCCATCTTTCTGCAAAGTCTTGAGCAGAGAGGGACTTGCAAACTGACCGCCAGGAAGGACAAAAGGGAAAGACAAACACACATTAGCTCCAAAGTGTGAGGTCTGCAGTGTTTCAGTTGACTTCTAGCCAGGTGTGATGACAGACCTCTACGCCCAGCATTTGGGAGGTGGAGGCAGAAGGATCAGAAATTCCAGGGCAGCCTCAACTACAGGTCAAGTTCAAGGCCAGACTGAGCAACTTGAGAGACAAAGAAAGAGAAAGAAAGAAAGAAAGAAAGAAAGAAAGAAAGAAAGAAAGAAAGAGAGAGAGAGAGAGAGAAAGGAAGCTGAAGAGATTGCTCAGCAGTCAGAGGCTCTTTCAAAAGACCTGGGTTTTGCCAGGTAGTGGTAGTGCACACCTTTAAACCCAGCACTCGGGAAGCAGGGGAAGCAGTCTCTGTGAGTTTGAGGTCAGCCTGGTCTACAGAGCAAGTTCCAGGGCAACTAGCGCAGTCAAACAGAGAAACCCTGTCTTAAAAAACCAAAATGAATGAATCAATGACCTGGGTTTGGTTTCCTGACATAATTTTTTGCCTCTATATAATAGGATAATCTCTATATTCACAAAACAAAAATTAACATTTAAATATGCTCTAAATATTAAACCATCCATATTCAGAAATATCAGAGGTATTGTATTTTAAATCAAGTCGCAACAATAGGCTTGAACTCACACTTTACAAATAGGTAGAACAAAAAATAAAAAAAAGTCTGATGTCTTAGCTAAACTTACAAGATTTTCTTGTAAGTTTAGAAGGTGGTGGTGGTGTACACCTTTAATCCCAGCACTCAGGAGGCAGAGGCAGGTGGATCTCTGTGAGTTTGAGGCCAGCCTGGTCTCTAAGAGTAAGTTCTAAGACAGGCTCCAAAGCTATACAGAGAAACCCTGTCTCAAAAAACCAAACCAAACCAAAAGAAGAAGAAAAAAAAAAAAAAACCAAGATTTTCTCTACTAATGTCATTAATTATAGTTTTTGTTTGCTGAGATTACTGAAATGCTTAACAGGACAAATCTTAAGGTGTAGCAAGTATAAACTGCATAAATTTAACCTTGTAAAAATGTCCAAGTAATACTTCGTAAGAGAAAAGGGTTTTGTTTTGTTTTGTTTTTTGGATTTGGTTTGGTTTCCGGTTCTTGGTTTCTCGAGACAGGGTCTCTCTGTGTAACTGTCCTGGCTGTCCTGGAATTCACTTTATAGACCAAGCTGGTATCAAACTCACCAGAGATCCTCTGCCTCCCAAGTCCTGAGATTAAAGGAGCACACTACTACTGCCCAGCAAGAGAAAAGTTTCTGAAAAGCAAAAATCATAAATATAGACTCTCTTCCATTCTGTGTGAGTAACAGTGAACCTCCTTCTTACCTTCACTACAGAATGGCTTGTCAACCCCTGAGTACCGCACAATGTCCTTGATGACTTTATATATCTTACAGTAGTCGCACAAAGCCATAACTTTATTTCTCCTTTTGTATTCTTCACAGCAAACCTCACCACAAAACAGAAACATTCTACCCTGCAAAAACAAACAACAACCGACATTATTAAGCTCTCAGTACAAGAGGCTGGAAACATGGCTCGCTGGTTAAGAGTGCACTGCCCATGCAGAGCACCCACATTTGGTCGCTCACAACTGCCTACAACTGCAGTTACAAGGGATCCAATGCCTGCGGAGGCACTTGTGCGCACATGGACATTACCCACCCAACTCCCCCCATACACTCACAATAAAAAATATTTCTTTTAAAAAAATTTAACTAAACAGCAACTTTCTCTTTGAAGAAGTATTTTTCCAGGCCAATGAGATGGCTCAGCAGGTAAAGGCATCTACTGCCAAGTCTAACAACCTAAGTTTGACCCAGGACCCACATGACAGAAGGAGAGAACCAACTCAAGCAAACTGTGTTCCACTTGCACATCATGACACATATCCGTGAATACACAAATACACACAAAATAAATTTCCGTTTTTAAGTTAACACAAACTAAGGAACTAAGGAAAATGAAAAACCAGAAATGCTCTCACTGGATGGTTACCCATACTTCTTTTATGCCATCTCTTTACCTTGTAGAAAAGCAGCTCTGGTTTTGTGGCAAAATGATGGTTACAATGCTGGCACCTGAGTCTCATGAACGTATGGGTCAAAGCAATCTGCTGGGACTGTTTAGCAAGAGTTTCCAGAGCAGCTGCTGCAGGCTTGCTGATGGGGCTACTGAAGGAGGAGACGGGGGCACCTTTTCCTGCTGATACTGCAGGCGGCAAGGGTGTGCTCATCACCTCTTGGCCCGGAGATATGGGTACCAATGAAGAGTTTGTTCCCTCTGGCTTGTTAAACACATTCTAAACGAATACAAAGCAAAGATTTTACCAAGTAAGAAATAACATAGCTTAACTGTTTTAACTTTCTCTTTTTAATAAAGTCATTCCACAAACGTTCTTTTTTAATTTTACTTCTAACAGAAAGAATTTTAGTGACACATCTTCCAGAGCAGAAGGGTTAAAAAATGAAACACTCAAAAGTAACGGACTAGAATAGGTTCCTGCATATTTCCCTAAAACGCCTTTCTCAAGCCCTACACATATCACCAACCAACTCCTGTTGGCTCGTAGGTGATAGTGGATACACAGGTATCCACCTCTCACCCAGGAAAACCAACAGACTCTTTCCTCTTTCTGTATAACGCACAGAGGGTCTAGAGATGGAATAAGGAGGACTTACAATTCCATGACAAGAATCATTAAGTTTCTGACCCAGTACACAAGGGGTACATGAGCCCCCCTCTAAAGCTTTTGTTCTTCACCATACCATCTAGCAAACCATATTCTAGCTTCTATTCTTTTAAAATAAAAAAGAGAGAACAAGAATGAGTGTGGCGGCACACACCTACAATCCCAACTCTTGGATCAGGAGTTCAAGGCCACCCCTGGCTACAAATTAAATTCCAAGGCCAGCCTAGACTACAGGAGAAGACCCTGACTGGGGGGGGAGAGAGAGAGAGAGAGAGAGAGAGAAAATGGGAGGGAAGGAAGGGCACTTGAATCAAAGACCCTGAATAAAAAAGCCCAACAGCTGGTTCAAACATTTGTACAAATGACCTCTGAAACATTGCTTGAGTAGGCTGGGGGTTTGTTTTCTTAAAGCCTGCATTCGAAATCTTCTGACTAAACAGGTGTTACATGCTTGCAATCCCATAACTTCGGAGATAAGGACAGGATGACTGCCTCATATTTGAAGCCAGTCTGACCTTCTACATAGGGAGTTCTTAGCCTCTTTGGGCTATCTAACAAGACTGTCTCAGAAAAGGAAAAGAAAATGGGCTGGCAAGACAGCTCAGTCATGCCATTATGGCATGTAAACACATACTAAATAAATGCAAATATATATATATATATATATATACATATAATTTTTTACAGTGTTTTGCCATAGGCCAATGTCTCAGAGAGCTAGAGGTGCATACCTGGAAAGCCAGCACGCAGTTGGAGCTACAGAAACTGCAAATAGTTCCGTCTGACATGGCTACGTGATACTGAGGAACTGCTGCGGTTTTACAACTGTGACATAAAACCTGGAGACCTTAATGACAAAAAAGAAAAACAATGAATGTTGCACACAAACACAAATGATACCAAAGTCTAGTAGTAGAAAGACAGCACAGACTCTCCTTATGTCTTTGCAGGACTGGCTCCCAAACGTTCCCCAAGGATGCCCAACATCTGCAGAACAGAGGCTCATGTCCATCTTATAGAATGGTATCACAAGGTTTGCACACCTTCTCTGTACATTCTGAACATCCACTCACAGATCATCTCTATATTACTTACAATACCTAACAAATGCAAATATAATATACATAGCTAACATACTATATTACTTTGAGAAAAATAATTTTAAAAATCTCTGTAATATTCAATTATATTTGCTGAGGGATTTTGTTTTTTGTTGTTGTTTTGAGACAGGGGTCTTAGTAGTAGTTCTGGCTGCCCTGGAACTCACTATGTAGACCACAGTGGCCTCAAACTCAAGAGATCCACCTGACTCTTGCTTCCCCAGTGTTGGGACTAAAGGTGGGCATCACATTTGCTGAGTAATTCTGAGGTATGGTTGGTCAAATGTGGAAGGTCAACTAACTATACAGTAATCTCTAAATCTAACTGCAACAACTAACCTCAATGAACTCCTGTTCATCAAAACCTAACTTAAAGGACTGGAAACATGGCTCAGTGGTTAAGAGCACTGGGTGCTCTTTTAGAGGACCTGGGTTACATTCCTAAATGCCAAATGCTGGGTCACAAGCATCTGTAACTCCAGTTCCAGGGAATCAAATGCCCTCTTCTTGTCTCCATAGGCACCAGGCATACACGCAGACAAAACAGGCACATAAAATACAATAATAAAAAATTCATTTTATTTTTTTATTTATTTATGTTTTTTGAGACAGTGATTCTCTGTGTAATAGCTCTGACTGTCCTGGAACTTGCTCTGTAGACCAGGCTGGCCTCAAACTCACAGAGATCCACCTGCCTCTGCTTTCTGAGTGCTGAGATTAAAGGCATGCCCCACCACCACCCAGCACAATAATTATTATTTCTTTTTTCTTTTTTTTTTGAGACAGAGTTTCTCTGTGTAACAGCCCGAGCTGTCCTGGAGCTCACTCTGTAGACCAGGCTGGCCTCGAACTCACAAAGAACCACCTGCCTCTGCCTCCGAGTGCTGGAATTAAAAGGTGTGTGCCACCACCATCCAGCCACAATAAAATATTTTTAAAAAGGAAAAAACTATCTTAAAACTTAGTAATTATTTTTTATTTTTTCTACACATAAAGTATATTCTACAAAAAGAGAGTATCAGTGCAAATCTGTTTTTCTTTATTTTCAGTTCTTCAAAAGTAAATCAATCTTGGGTTTTTGGCCATGTTAAATAAATTTAGTATCTAAAAGAAAATTAAGGACACCAGGTATGGTCATCTTTAATGTTACCAAATCTATAAATTTATCAAATTTAATCATTACCTGAAGAAATAACTGTCTTAATCCTGTAAGCAGATAAGCAATTAATAGAGCAGAAAACCTCTGATTTTCCTGGGTCATCTGTAATCTCACTCGTCTCAGCAGACGGCTTCATTGAATTCCCCAAGGCATAGAGTGGCTTCTGGGCCATATTCTATTAGGACAGCAATAACATAAGTGTGTTTAAGCATAAGTTCAAACATAATTACATCACTGTTTCGGATAAGAAAGAGCCAGAGAGAAGGCTCAGTGAGTGAAGTGCTTGCTATGCAAAAGTATGAGGACGTAAATTCAGACTTCCAGATCCCACTTCCTGATCCCACATAGCCATGTAATCCCAGTGCTCCTAAGGCAAGAAGGGAGGTAGAGACAGCAGTGTGTATATGTAACCCCAGGGCTCCTATGGCAAGATGGGAGGTGGAGACGGGAATGAGCTCATGTAATCCCAGAGCTCCCATGGCAACATGGGAGGCAGAGAAAGAAAAATCTCCAGAACTCCACAAGCAGCCTGACATACAAAGCTTTAAATAAAAAGAGACCCCCCCCCACCTCAAACAAGATAGAAAGAGTGGTTGTTGTCTTCTGACACCCACACATATGGCATGCACATTCATTCATTAATCACACTCACACACGTATGCACACATGCATGCGCACACACACACACACACACACACACACACACACACACAATCATGCATACAGATTTTAGGAAAAAAAACAACAACAACAACAACAAAAGCCAAGCCAGGTGTGATATCCAAAGCAAAGGATCAGGAGCCTAAGATCAGTCTTGGATATAAAACTGAAGAAAACTAGTTAACTGAACAAAACTCAATTAACAACAAAGCACACTATAAATGATGAATGATGTAAGGATAATCCATGAAGTATACAGCCATTCTCAGGACTGATCTGGACTTCAGTTTAGGAAAGATGATCACTTTTAAAGCTACCTAAATTGGATAACTCTTCTGCAGGAGACAGAAATGATGCTTAATTCATATTAAGAGATCCTACAAAACCATTTCCTTATCAAGCTGAGTGACACACTAAGTAGGGTTAATTATATAATCAACTATAGAGTCAACTCATGCTTTAACAAATAATAATGACCACCACTTACACAGTATTAACTTCTGAATGATACCATAAGCCAAACTCCATGGTTAACTGTTAACTCCAACTGTTAACTCTAAAACCGTCACTAGTACAATAGCCAATCATTTAGTAAGGAAGTAAATGGGAAGGAAAAGGATTATCATGAAATTTCACACAATCTGCTTAGTAAAAATGGGCCTCAAAAATTTGGAAGAATACAATAACAATCCCAAATTAGGAATGGAATGGATACTTAAGTCACAAGTAAAGAAACATTAGTTATTTTCCTGTAAGTATAGTAACTGGACTGCCAAAAGAGGTAGTTCCTAAGAAATGAAATATTTCTTAATAATAAAAGAACATTCTCAACTGCTCCAAGGAATTAAATCAAAAACTTGCTAAGTAAAGGAATGGTGTGCTTCTGTGCATGCAGGTGCATGAGTGTTGGAGTATGAACAGGTGTGTGGGAGTCGGGGTTAACCCTGGGTATCAGTCAGATGTTATTTACTTTATCTATTTGGTTTTTTGGAGACATGGTTTCTCACTAGCCTGGAATTTGCAAATAATTGATGCTTGCTAGTCAGTGAGCCCAGAAATATGCCTTCCTCCACCAGGACTGTAACTGTACACCACTACAACCAGCCATGTGGGTTGTAGCAATTCAAATCTTCATGTCTGCAACCACTCTACCAACTACTATCACCTTAGTCCCTTAAAAGATCATTATCTTTTAGATCTTTTATAAGAACTTAAAAAAATAAATAAATAAGAAGTGAGGATGACGGTTTAATGGTTAAAGCACTTGTCACACAGAAAAAAAGGGGTTATAGTTAAAATCCCTAGATTAAAAACCCATATAGATGCCAAGTAGACTTGGTGGCCCCTACCTGTAATTTCAGCATTTAGAAGGCCGAGGTGAGATATCCAGGACAAGATGGCTAATTAGACTAGCTGAATTGATGAGTTCTGAGTTCAACTGAGAGACTTTACCTCAACGAAGAAGGTACAAAGCAATTGATGACGACTCCTAACACCAACCTCAGACTCATACACGCATGCCCATATACATATAAACGCACACAAAAAGAATAAAGAGAAATCTCAAGCAGTAATAATTAAAACTGAAACAGATATATTTAACCAGACTATCATTTATTATAAATAATTAGAACCTGAAGTATTACAATGATAGTACCAAACCAACTAAGAATTCATTTCAAATCTTACATCTTAAAAGAAAAAATAATAGAATTTCCTTTAGTTTCAGTCATTTTTTGGCTTTTAATTCTTGCTCATTGGTGCATCTATAAGGAGTTTTCAGTATCAATATTTCCCACAAGTCATTTGTAAGTTCTGAGTCATGAATAAAATAGAATTTTTTAAAAGTGGCCTGTTTCATCTTAATCACGTCATTACACAACAATCCCATGTGGAGTTTGTCCCCTTTCCCTGGAGAGAAGATCACACCAGGATGAACAGAAGGGAACTTCCATCTTCATGCTGCAACTCACCCTTGCACAGCCAGCTCAGGGAAGAGCCTACAAGTCCCACAACAGGAACTCACAGCTGCTGGTACACCCATCAGGGACAGGAAGGCAGAGCTACTCTAACAATAGCTCCATGGCCATAGTGCTCACAACTGTTCGCAGTGAGGCTGTTAGTTGTGTGAATTGTAGAAAAACAAGCATCACAACAAAGACGTTGTGCCACATTTTGATTGATTTCTTCTTCATCCACTTCCTCCTTTTTCTCTCCTCCAGCCCCCAAGACAATGTCTATGTAGCCCTGGCTGTCCTGGAGACCAGAATAGCCTCAAACTCAGCGATCTACCTGCCTCTGCCTCCCGAGTGCTGGGATTAAAGATGTGTGCCACTACACCTGGTTTTGATATTTAATTTCAAATCTAATCTGTATTATCAGATACACAGATAAAAAATAAGCAGAGCCATGTAAAAGAAATCTCTGATTTTAGCCAGGCATGGTAGCACTGTAATCTCTGCCCTTGGGAAGCTAAAACAGCAAGATATCCTCAAGGTTGAGGCCAATCTGAGTTACACAGCAAGATACTGTCTTTAAAAGACAGGGGGAAAGGGAGGGAGGGAGAAGAAGAAAAACTACCGTGTCTCTGAGCAGAATTCCAATGAATGTGAAACATGACTAGCACTTACGTCAGTGACCTTCTGACACATGGTGCACTTAGTTGAAATGCCGCTGGTGTATATGGTAACAACAGGCTTCTTTAGTTCATAAGAAGACAGGCATAACTGGCTGCAGAAATCTTTGCTGGAAGAGGAATTTTCAAATTTGGCTGTGACCACATCCATTGGATTTATAATCTCTCTAAAAACAAATAACAAAGACAAATGTGCAATGATTCTACCTTCTTCCTCTCTGGGAGTTAAAATGTTATCTCAGCTAGGAGTAACTATTGCATGGTAGAAAAAACCTATATAAATCATCTGAAACACAGAATTGATGATGAGTTCTGTTACTTCTCAGTTAAATGATTATGACTGAAGCAATTATTGTCTCCACTATCTCATGTGTAAAGTGGGACTTATAAAATCTAATGTAAGCATTTGTACAAGAATTATATTTAACAAAAAAAGACTTCTAGTTCTCTGCTGGAATCAATGAAACTAGATCCAGCAGCCATCCCACAACCACAGACCACAGGACATGTGTTTACTACTCAACAGCTGCCAATAGTAGAATCATGACTGAGATCACAAATTAATTTTTTTAACGAAAATTTTTAAGATGAACTATGAGAGATTAATATAAAAATTATCATGCTATATAAATCTTAGCTATAAGTGTTGGAAAGAACATAGCACAAATAACTTAGCAGTTCTGTGAGATTTGTAGAGCCATTTCATAAGAGCTAATTATTGCAATTGGCATTGAAAGCAACACCCTGTTAGAGGCTAAATGCTGCTATAAAAATTAAAGGAAACATTCAAGATAGAAACACTAGTAGAGACTATAGTATAATGTATGTAAGTACAGTGAATTATGACTATATGCTAGTCATTAAATATCACAGAAAACACTATGAAGGAAGTACTGTTATCATTTTTGCTTTTCAGACAAGGAGACTAAATGAGAGATTAAATTAAACTGCCTCTCAAAATCAGTCTACTGACACAAGAATTCAAATCCAGAATCCGGAGTTAATCATCCTACTGGCCGACACCTTGTGCATCTTTATTTATCTTTATTTTGTGAGACCAGAGTCATCCCTCCTTAGGCACCCACCTTGTTTCTCATGATAGGGTCTTTCACTGGGACCCTCATGTGCAAACTTCCCCGGTGCTGGGATCGCCAGCATTCACCATTATGCCCAGCATTTTTAAATGTCATAATAGGATTTCACGGTGTAGCCTTGGCTAGCCTGAAACTCACTACACAGACTAAGCTGTCCTCGAAGTCAGAGACCCATCGACTCTGTCTTCCAAATACTGGGATTAAAGGTGTGAGCTACTATGTCCAGCAGTATGCCCGTCATTTTACATGGATGCTAGGGATCAAATTCAAGTCCCCATGCTTGTAGAGCAAGCTGTTTACCAACCATTTCCCCAGTCCACATACCTTTATTATTCACAACTACTGCATAGTAAGCTATGAAAGGAAAATAAAATTAACTAAATTTTCTAAAATTCTCCTAAGCTTAAAAATGTGTGTGCTTCTACAGGGTGTGACGGTTCAATAGCACTGGAGTGGGGAAAGGCAGAGAATTCAGAGTTCAAGGTCAAGGGCCAGAGAAATGGCTCAGTGGTTGAGAGCAATGGCTGCTCTTCCAAAGTCCTGAGGTTCAATTTCTATCACCTATATGGCAGCTCACAATGGTCTTTAACTCCAGTTCCAAGAGATACAACACTCTCATACAAACATACATGCAAAAGACTAAAAAAAAAAATCATTAAACAAAAAATAGTTCAAGGTCATCCAAAGCTACAAATGAAGTTAAAAGCCAGTCTGGGCTATGCCAGTCACTATCTCACAAAACAATCATAAAAAGTTGACGAGAACACTTAGCTGGCAGAGATCCATGCCACCAAGTCTGATAACCTGAATTGAATGAATGGGACCCTCAAAGTGAAACCTACTCCCACAAGTTGTTTTCTGACCTTCTGCGTGTGTGCATACACATGTACACACACATGTACACACACAGAAAACATACAAGATAAATAAATACATATAAAATTTTTGAACCAATCAACCAAACATCAAATATGTGCTTGCATATAGATAAAGTAGTGATTCTGAAGCATGATTTTTCACTAAAAACAGTAATAAATTATATTTAGTCAGATGTAATGGTATACATCTATAATTCCAGTACTTGAGATGTAGGGGCAATGAGGATCACAATGTCAAAGTCAGCTGTGTAAGTTACTTGAAGACTGGTCTGGGTTATATGAAAACTTGTCTCAAAAACAAACAGAAAACAAAAACAACAACAACAAAACTGGGTTGAAGAACCAAGAAGGTTGGGGGCTGGAGAGATGGCTCAGTGGTTAAGAGCACTGGCTGCTCTTCCAGAGGTTCTGAGTTCAATTCCCAGCAACCACATGGTGGCTCACAACCATCTATAATGAGATCTGGTGCCCTCTTCTGGCGTACGGGCATACATGGAGGCAGAATGTTGTATGCATAAGAAATAAATAAATAAATTTTAAAAAAAAAGAACCAAGAAGGTTGAGTTTGATGAAGCAAGACTTTGCTGATACATTCCTCCTAGACAAATCGGTGGAGAGACCAGCCCTTATCTGTGAAAACCACAGGGCCAACTCTACTGTCTGACATTTTCCAGCTCTGTCTTTGCTATTTTTTTTTTAATTAATTTAACATCTATTGAAGAGAAGTGGATATGCTTACTCAACATTGTAAAAATAAAACAACAAAACAAAAACCTGGGGCTAGAGAAATGGCTCATGGATGCTCTTCCAGAGGACCCAGGTTTGATTTCTACTATCCACATGCCAACTTACAACCACCTGCCAACTCCAGTTCCAAGACATCTGAAGCCTTCTTTGGCCTCCTCTGGCACCAAGCACACATGCGGTACACAGACATACGTGCAGGCAAAACACCCATATACATAAAAATTAAGAAAACATCATGTACATATAATTATTATATAATTATAAATACAAAGTTACTTAAATTCTTTATAAGATCTCATTTATCAAGCATTTATAATGTGCTAAGTTATGTGCTATGCTGCTTTATTAAAATCCTAGGAAGTACATATTACTTAATGAAAAAAAAATGATGTTCAGGAAAGTCAAAATAGCAACATGACACTCTGCCTCAAAAACAAAAACAAAAAACAAAAACAAAAACAAAAAAAAATACGCAAGCAAGGCAGTGGTGGCATATGCTTTTAATCCCAGGACTCAGAAGGCCAAGGCAGTCGGATCTCTTTGAGTTTTAGGCCAGCCTAGTCTACAAAGCGAGTTCCACGACAGCCAAGGCTTTTACGAAGAGAAACCCTGTCTTAAAAAACAAAAAAGAAGTAAAGTGAGGAAGTCAAGAATAAGAGTGCACAACTCTAATTCCAGCACTTGAGACAGAGGCAGGAGGATCTCTGTGAGTTCAAGACCATCCTGGTCTACATAATGAATTCCAGGACAGCCAGGGCTATACAGAGAAACACTGTCTCAAAAATCAAACCAAAGCAGCAAATGAAAACTTAGGAAGCCTGTACTTGGAGCAGTTTGTGCAGATTCTCTTGAGCTGATGTGGCAGGCAGGCAGCTGAGGAGTATCTCGTGATGCATTCCGTGGAACAGAAAAGCTGAGCACATCCAGTCTTATGAAGTATTTTTTTACAACCAGAACAAAACAGATGAGAAGTCGGAGCTGGAGTAGTTGCATTTGAGCCGGGTGATGGTGGACGAAGCTGAAAGCCTAGCAAGACAAGATAAGAAACAAAATAAACAAACAGAAAAAAAAAAGCAATTTCAGTTTCACCAATGAAACCTTTTCAAGAAAAAAACTTGTCAGTTTTGAGTCATTATACTAAAAAAACAATAACCACGCTCCAAAGCAAAGGGTATTATATTTTAGTTAAAAACCAGTTCTCTTATACACATATGTTAGACAAGATCTTTTTTCTCTTGAGACAGAGTCTCACTATATATAGACCAGGATGACCACCTGTCTCGGACTCACAGGTACTGATTACAGGTGTGAGCCACTCTGGTCACTTGCACACACATGTGCACATTTAACTTAACAGAAGGGCTTTTGTTTAGTTTTGTTTTTTCAAGACAGGGTTTTCTCTGTGTAGCTCTGTAGACCAGGCTGGCCTTGAAATCAGAGACCCACCTGCCTCTGCCTCCTGAGTGCTGGAATTAAAGACGTGTTCTACCATACCCAGTTAGAAGAAAGCTTTATAATATATACATTTCCTTAATCCATGAATCACCTTCTGATATAATCTTAACGTCTTCCATTTTTTTAAAAGGCCCATGGTGATCAGTTTCCACATTGAAAAATATACTAACGGAGGAGAAAGGTCTCCAGGCAGAGGTACTTCCCTTGATTCCACTAAACAAATTCCAATGGTAACACACTTAGCTGGTTCTATTTCTTACCAAGAGGAGTGTCATTAGCTGAGAATACAGCACTAATTTTCAGTTCACTTTCCTGAAGTCCATATTCCTTAAAAACAAGGGAGGGGAAAGGGAGAGAAATAAATACAATATGCATGAATAAACTGGAAATTCAATTAAAAATATGATTCTGAGCTCAGCGATGGAAGTGCACCCCTCTAGCCCCTGCAGCATTCGAAAGGCAGAGGCAGGCGGATCTCTGTGACTTCAGGGCCAGCCTGATCTACAGAGCAAGTTCCAGAACAGACAGAAATACAGAGAAATTCTATTTCAAAACCCTATCTCAGAAAAAAAATCTGATTCTGTCACATTCATCTTTTATACACCCTAATCATAGTCTCCTTCATAAATACTTCAAAAATCACAAATTATTAGAATAGATATACTGTTTACAAAGACCATCTTCCAAATTACAAAACATTTTACAGTTATACCTTCTTTTCAAAAGTAATCTTGGTAGATGAAAATATATATAATATAAAATGTTCCAATCTTAAACACTACTTATTTGGGTATGTTTGTGCATGTGTGAGGGTAAATGTGTGCTCGTGCTTAGAGATACTAGAATTCAATATCAGGTGTTTTCCTCAATCACTATACACTTATTTATTAAGCTACAGTCTCTCATTCATTAAAGTCAGAGTTTACCAATTGCCTA